CCAAGCGTGCTGCCGAGCTATACAGGCATCTTCTTGGCTTCACCTCAAACCCAATGAACCAGCCATATGCCTCTATGGCCGCGCTCGCCAACTACGGCGACTATACGTGGAACGGGCCGTCGTACGACGCCACCAAGTCCATGGATGCAAGCTTATGGGAGCTGTCGGGTAGTGATAAAGCCGTCCACAATGCACTCATTGCATTCGCCGACCTCAACCAGAACTGGCCATACCAAACTCCCGAAGTCAATGCGCCCAGTCTTACCAAGGATATTGCGGCTTTCTGGGCTGCTCGCAAAGCCGGCACCAGTGACGGAACTAAGGCGTTGAAAGATCGCCTCGCGCTCATCATCACCATCCCTGATGTTCTCCCTAAAATGGCTACCAAGGCCTTCGCTACAGACGTGGCGCCCTGGGCGACTGTTGCTAGGCAGTGGGCGAAAGCCTGTCAGTGCTTGATTTCTATGCTCGAGGCCCTCGATGACGGGGATCAGATTACGGCAGATGCTGAGTTCAGCTCTGCTAAGGAGTGGGTTGAGAAGACGAAGGCTAAGACTGTTGATGACCGTAATACTGATGGTGAGGACCTTCCTAAGTCAATTACCCCAATTACCGGTGATGGGGCATTTGATACGTTCTTCAGTAATGCCACGGCTATTTACAACAGTAAGTAAATGGGGATGCGGGTTTGGTAGTATTAGTCGGATAGACAGATATAACGCACGCGTTGTATACGAAATGCAAATATTCTTATGAAGAACTTGTCAGTGTCGTAGGAGCAAGGGCAGTCAACCATATTTGTCAATCTGTGCACAATTCCCTGATTTCCGCATATGAATAATAGGCCCAAGAATCCGGGGATCAATGATGTTAAGACCGGAGTTTACTATCGAGGAGTGAGGCAGATATTTGCTAGATACAAAGAAACACCACGAAACATAGCTAATAGAAGAAATTACATGCAATGTGTACACTCATCAATTCTTCGTAGTCTGATCCCACAGACTGCGCACGGTAACACCATCCACCCACTTACCCCCAGTCTCATCCTTCTGCACAATGAACTTCAGGGTCCGTTTCTCACCGGGAAGTAAAGAGAACGAGTTATCCTCAAAGTATCCCACCACACTAGCAGGATAGTCAAGCCATGTATATAGCGAGACAGCACTCTGAGCCTCGACTGTGAATGCGCCAGTCTTTCCATCATGAGACAGTTTGAGTTTCGGGTTTTTCAGCGCCAGCTCCTTAGGGAAGACGGGCGTAAACTGGTTCCGGTGTATGAATGTAGTTAAAGCCTTGCTTTCGGCATTTGGGAGATGACCCTGAGCAGTGAGATCAATAACCAGGACGGCATCCTTCGTATCAGGCAGAGACAGCTTTGCCACATTAGTTTCGTAAATATTGGTGGTATTGAGTGCTCCAACAGAGAAATGTTTTGTCAAGGGAGTACCTGCGTTCCCGTGGATTGGCTTGCCAGACAAGTCCGTCCAGGTAAGATTCACCGTTCCCCCAATAGTCTCCCAGAGGTCCGATGTCACATAGATAGACAAATCACCCGTCGTATAGTTCCAGAATGGCGAGACGATAACGGGCTGGAAGATGTCGCGGGCGACATAGTGGAGGACCTTCCAACGGCCGTCATACTCGATTCCAGCCCATGTCGGAGCCTGCCAGATATCTTCGAGTTGCCAGTACAGGGATCCGAGCTGGCGCTCTGGCATTCCGCTCCCGCGACGATAGAACTGGATTTCGGACTTGTACATGTCTGCTTGGAACAGCTGGGTTGCATGGCACCAGGAACTGAAGTTGGCGACGGAGTCTTGCTTGTCGGGGATCGGGTAGTATGTCTCTACTGCTATGGTCATTTCGGCCATGCCCTTAGATGAGTTACTGTAGTTGTGGGTGTCTGGGCTGCTTGCTGGGTAGTGGTGGTTTCTAAGCATGATAGTACTGCTGTTGAAGTGGAGGTCTTTCTTGTCCACAGCTTGCTGCCATGTTTGCAGACTCGGCATGCTGTGGTAGCCGAATTCGTTGGCGAAGCGGCCGACGGGGTAGTCAGCGGAGTTGAACGCCCCACTGCTATCATAATTGTAGTAGTCTGTATTACCATAATAATAGCCGTCTGCTGAGCCATTTTCGTAACGCTCTATCATAGGAACTGGGGCAGACAGATCAACTTCCAGGAAACCGTTGTTAGTGCTACTGGGCATGTACGAAATTGATCGCGAGTTCTCGTAAACCAATGGAAGAATCAGGGAGATGAACAGATGCTCATAATCGCCAAGCACGTGGGCGTAGGACGCAGGATCCGCTTTCTTAGCGGTTGGTAGCTCCAAGTTTTCAAGCTCATTTCCACCAGCCCACAAAGCTAAGGATGGATGATGATTGACCCGCCTCACATTGTAGACGATCTCGGCAGCAACATTGTCAAGGAACGATTGGTCCGTGGGATACAAAGCATCACCGAATTGGAACTCGCTCCACAGTAACACTCCACGTTCGTCGGCGAGATCGTATATGAAGTCGGGAAGGTAAACACCTGAAGCCCAGACTCGGAGCATATTCTGATTTCCAGCGACAACGGCATCAAAGAGTCGTTTCATCTTGGCCTCCGTGACTCGCGGCCAGAAAGCATCCGGTGGAATGAGGTTCGAGCCCTTCGCGTAGAACTCGTGGCCATTCACTTCGAAATGCCAATTCGCCCCAGGCGCGATACCCTGCGCCAACTGGCCGTCGGTGATATTGGATCGGTCCAGGAAAATAGTACGGAAGGCAGTGCGTTTGGTTACGCTGGCGAGGCTCTGTTCTTTATTCTGGATAGTGGCTGTAACGTTGTACATGCTTTGCTTGCCCATGCCTGTGGGCCACCAGAGATTCGGCGCTGCCTGGAGACATTGTCAGACATAATCTCTTATCCCATTAATGAATACTTACTGCATCAACTATAGTAGTACCGCTGATGGTTTTTCCAGATACAACGACGTTGTCGAGTGATCCGGACTTCAGTACTTTGCCCGACTCGATATCCTTGATCTCGATGGACATAGATGGATGGGTAGGTGGGGAGCCGAGGTAGTCAATACTTGCATTCACAACCCAGGGCTGACTCTGATCGGGAGCAAGGTGATTGATCTGACCCTTTCGATAGATGTCAAATCCAGTGTTTAGAACATATAAATCTTCCTCTTTCTCAGACTGCACCAGGTAGATATTCTGCCATGGACCAGCAGGCGAAAACGCTGGACCCCAATCCCAGCCAAAGTCAGACTGTTCCTTGCGAGTAAACCAGCGGTTAGGGAATTCATAGGTTTGCTGAACACCAGTAGGCCACTCTGGGGATATCGTCAGACATAGTGTCTTGTCCGGTTGTTGAATACTTACTGGGGGAGTTTGGATCAGCGGCAATTGCATTTTGGATCTTAGTGGCACTTCCAAAATCGAGAGAGACTGTTGGGAGGCCCTTGCAATGTTTCAGGGTATCGGAAATGTCAAATGTATACTGCCGGAACTGATTATCCGTAGTTCCTATCAAATTACCGCAGAACCTGATTGTTGTAAAGGTGTCAAGCCCATTAAACACGAGCCAGGAGGACTTGGAGTTGCGCGACCTGTGAAGAGTCAGTAAGAATCCAAATTGGCACAGCGAAGGGCACAGACAATCCCTTGATTGGTTTACTTGTATAGGTCCAATTACTGTCTACAATCCAACGCAAGTTGAAGTCATTCAAACCATAGTAGCTTCGACATGATTCGGGTTAGTATAGAGCCATTACCGGAGAAACGCGCTTCAACTAACGGTTCATCTGTTTTTTATTTTGTTAGATCGGTCAATGTTTCCAATCAAAGAGGACTTGCCAATAATATTCGCAGCAAGAAGATCCAAATGCGCCTGCGACGGGACACGGCCAGGGACGCTAACATTCAGCGCCTTGCTACTAACAGTCCATCTATCACCGCTCAAATCCAAAACATTCTGCCCCAGAGTTATTGACAGAATTGATGGAAGCACTGCTAGTACGAGGTGATTCCAAAGATGCATAGCGTCCTAATCCCAAACTATGCTGAGATGCGAGATTGCGGGGTTTCAGTACTATGTAAGCCCTATTTATCTCCCTAGATCTGATACCGGTGGCGAAATTCCGGAGAAACAAGTAGATGATCTGCAATCAAAATACTATATCAATCACGGTGTTCTTCGGAGGTGAAATAGACTGGTGCCCCACAGGCATGTAGCCCTCAGCACCCCTCAGTAACCCCTCGCGAGGAAAAAGTAACGGTGGCAGCGCTAAGGTACGAATTCCGGTTCTAGACCAAAGGTTACCTATGTATGGACTGCAGTATTGGAGCTACAAAGTAACCGTGTTGTATACAGAAAGTTAGGGAATTCGAGGCTTAATTTCTTAGCGCGGGGTCCAAGGGTATAATATGTTGATCTATGTATTCAATCGTATATTCCCTAGAATAGTACATACTATTTGCTTAGGTATGTTATTGAGAAATACATATGTCCAAGAAATATGTACCTTTTAGGCTGTGTTTTTTTCACAAAATATATTTGTTCTTTCTGCCTAGGCAGATGGGACCTTTGCTCCTTACCTAGATTAGTCTTTCCCCCTTTCTCTCTCTCTATATATATATCTCTCTCTATCCACACTTTGACTCCATGGTTCCCTCCCCTCCTTGCCTGGAGATGCGATCAAGGGAATCAGCCACTGGATTCCAAGCAGCAATGAAAACATGTTAAACATTCCCGCCATGAGACAGCACTTCCATGAAACGTTCTATCCGCGAATGTGCCAATCCCATCTTTAACATTTGGCACCCTCGATACAGCCCTTGAGAAGTTTCCAGTCTGGTAGAAGAGTGGTTGGCCCATGAGACAGGACATGGCTACTCTAATGACATTCTAGGATCATTCATCAAATGTTTATTAGCAAAAGTCTCAAACTTGAAGTGCTGTCTATTTTCCTATTATACATATGTACTCTATACATGCTTGTTTATATTTGTACAGATGTCTGCAGTTGATCCGCTGTCAGGTTCTTGCGCATTATCGATACATCACTCTGTGTAAATCCAAGCCCATCAATGAGATATCCCTCAGCGCCATTTTTATAAGTGCTCTCAAATGATACCAGGAAAGCCTCTATGGAAGTAGCTCGAACACCACACAGTTCGAGCATACCCAGTCCCTCGGGAGTCAACTGACTCACGTCGACTCCACCGCCTCCCGAATTTACCGCAAATGCTTGCATGAGGTTCTCCCGGGCGCTTTCCAGTACAACTCGAGTGAGGATGTAATCGTTGATAATGTCGTCATGAGGTCGATTGATCAAGAGGAGGATAAGAGCGGCGAAGACACCTGTGCGATCTTTCCCAGCTGTGGATGGGATTTATGGTTAGCATCGATCTACTATGAATGAGAGATTTACACGCGACTAGAGCAAGGTGAAACAAGTAGAACATACCGGAGCAATGAACAATAAACGGATCGTCCGGGTTATCTCTGATATGTTTGAATACCTCAGTGAAACATGGGGCAGCCGCTTCAAGGACCCCGAAGTACATCTTCACAAACCCTGCAGCGCCCTTGTCCGGGCCCGCAAAATCGCGGAGATTTAAAGTCGCCGGTTGAGCTCCGTAAGGTACCCATATCGTCTCGACTCCCGTGATAGAAGGTGCCGGGGCTTTTCGTCGCTCGGCTTCATTCCGGAGGTCGAAGATAGTGGTGATTCCCAATTGGGTTGCGATGACCGATTTCCCCGGTCCCCAGATGTCGGACAAGTTTCCAGACCGATAAACAAATCCCGGGCGTAGCCTGTTGCCATCATGGCTTACATCGCGAAAGTTGGTGACACCTTGTATAGGGATAAATGGTGGCAGGGATGTGATCCGGGCTACGAGTGCCTGCGGGATGGGAGTTCTGATATCGGTATTTAATACCTCGCGGAATTGATCGGATTCATACATGATTATTCGATTAAATGTACAGAGGATTGAAGAAAGAAATCAAAATCAAAAGTCGAAGGTATCGAGAAAGCTCCAACTATGTCATCGTCTCCATCAAATAGTGGAGCCGAAGCCTAGTGCAGGCACCAATGTCATCATATTCAATGACCTCAGGATGCATTTTCCAGTAATTGTCCTAGTGGATTTTCTGAGTAGAATTGTTAGTAGAATTGTCAGTATTTGTCTCGGATATTCTTTTTAAGATATTTCCCTTTTATTGGTGGCTTCAACCCATGTTATACACACCTTAGAAAATGAGACAATGAGACCGTTTTGAAAGCCAACATAGCAAGCAAAACAGCAAACGGTATTTATATATTGCCCTTGGTGTAACTTCAACTTCCCACCAATTAACTGCATCTTCATCTTCTCAAATCAAATTTATCCATCTAGCCATGGTATCCCTAGGCATTGGCGGCAGAGTTGCGGACCTAGAACCGGGCATACAATGGCGCATCAACGTAGCAGTTTTCCGGTACAAAGAGAACGGGGAGTACGCCGTCCTACTTCTGAAGCGAGCCACCGGCGAAGCCACATATCAATGGTGGAATATTCCAACAGGCCCAGTTCTCAACACTGATGTGACCATCCGCGATGCCGTGGAGCGCATAGTCCTCAACAAGACTGGTCTTGGACTCCAGGGCGACCACATTATCGAGGAGGTGGAGTCATTGAGGTGGGGATCTGAAGAAAGTCATCATCAAACTCAACTTTGTGATCTATGATGAATCTGCCGACATCGTTGCAATCCGTCACAACGAGTTCGAATATGAATGGGTGGAAGAGGAACGTATTGGCACTCTCTCTATCCCTGTCTCAATGCAGGATGTGATTCGCGTTGGATTTGAATTACAACGCTTGGGGGATTTTGAGGTGTGTGATATTTTGAGATTCATTCTAGAGATGGAATAAGAGTACAGAGAACACAGAGAATACAGAGAATACAATCAATTGGGATGTTGCTATGTTCAAATGTGTCTATTTCTCTTCCCCGCATCGGATACTCGGTTGGCCGCGGTGACGTTGAAAGGCCGACGCCAACCGCTCTCCGCACTCCCCAGATTTAACACTCAAACATCCAATCTCGCACATTTCTCCCATTGAAACAAACTAAATCTACAATGTCGATAACAAGAGAGACCAAAATGTCTCTAAAGCTTCTGACTCGAAATGGCCTTCGCAGCCAGCCCATAAATACAGCGCGCATCGTCCCCGCACGGAGGTGGAGTAGCTCCATCTCGCAGCGGCCGGGGTCAGACAGGTGAGCGCCCCAAGGACAATGTTTTTTTTTTGGGGAGGGGAAACACTGACAAGATGTTGATCCATTTAGCGTTCGATTCCCCGGGGCTGTGAACAGCAAGTTCACCTCGGAGATGGCCTTCCTCAAAGCCTCGGATCTGCCCGCTATCCCTACCTACCGAGTGATGGACTCGGACGGTTACCAGGTTGATAAGACGAGACCAGCACCCAATGTTACAAATGAGGAGGTCTTGACGTGGTACAAAAATATGCTTTCGGGTTAGTTACCCCACGCTTGATGTGATATCAAGTACCTGACATTTGGCGTGCAGTAAGCGTTATGGACGTGGTCATGTTCGAGGCACAACGGCAGGGTCGCTTAAGTTTTTACATGGTATGTTCGATTTATAAAAGGGAAGAGTGGGAAGAACATGGCTAATCTAACCGACTACCTGTAGGTTTCCGCCGGCGAAGAAGGCATCACAGTTGGATCGGCCGCAGCATTAACGCCAGATGATGTGGTATTTGCACAATACCGCGAAGCCGGTGTATTCCAGCAACGTGGATTCACCCTAAAGAACTTCATGAGCCAGCTCTTCGCCAATTGCAACGATACAGGCCGTGGTCGAAATATGCCAGTCCACTACGGGCAAAACTACCCTCGCATGGTCAGCACCCCTACCTCCTCGCTCCCACAATATACCTTTCCTAATATGACACCCCCAATAGCACACAATCTCATCACCATTAGCCACACAAATCCCTCAAGCTGCGGGGGCAGCCTACGCCCTGAAACTCCAAGACCTCCAAAACCCAAACCGGGACCCACGCATTGTAGCCTGCTATTTCGGCGAAGGAGCCGCCAGCGAAGGCGACTTCCACGCCGCACTGAACATCGCCGCAACAAGGTCCTGCCCGGTCGTCTTTATATGCCGAAACAACGGCTACGCAATCTCAACCCCAACGCTAGAGCAGTACCGAGGCGATGGCATCGCCAGTCGCGGCGTGGGATACGGCATTGACACGATCCGCGTAGACGGCAACGACGTCTTCGCCGTAAACGAAGCAATGAAAGAGGCGCGTCGACTTGCCTTAAGTGACGGCGGCCGGCCTGTACTGATCGAAGCCATGAGCTACCGTGTCTCGCATCATAGTACCAGCGACGACAGCTTTGCGTATCGTGCGCGCGTTGAGGTTGAAGATTGGAAACGTCGGGATAATCCGATTATTCGGCTGCGGAAGTGGCTTGAGAATCAGGGGATTTGGAGTGAGGATCAGGAGAAGGAGACGCGAGATGCGATGCGGAAGGCGGTGTTGAAGGAGTTTGGTGAAGCGGAGAATGAGAAGAAGCCTTCACTTAGAGATGCTTTTACGGATGTTTATGAAGAGATTACTGAGGAGCAGAGGGAGCAGATGGCGGAGCTTAAGCGCATCTTGGAGACTTATCCTGATGAATATGATGTGCGGCCGTATAAGGATGGGATTAATGGTTTGGATTGAGAGGGTTTGTCTCTGCAAAAAAATATATACGACCCTGGGGGAGTTAGAGCGTTATATTAAATACCAGAGCTATATTTATATAGATTCCAGATATGTTCAGAGAAAGGAATTTTTGTCGTGATGCTTAATGGATATTCCGACTGTATTGGTCTACGAGGTCTATTACTGTTTCTACATCTAAAGCCAAGAACAAGGTGTATAGAAGCACTCGACACGTGGTAATAACATACGAACGAGAAAAGACCTAAACATAGTTATATTCAGCTCTAATATTGACTGTACCACCTCCGCCTGGCACTTCTGCTTTGAGCAACAGCAACAGCAACCTTAGGCACAGTAGAGAGACTCATATAATTATCATCCGAAGCCAGATAAATCGCACCTAGCCCCATATCCTTCGCCAACCGAACAACATGATCAACATCGGCGTCCCCAGGCGTCTGATTCAAAATAACAGCACTTTTTTCATAATGACCAGGCATCGAGAAATGTTCATCAGGAGCCAAATCCACCCAATTAGCATAGGTATTCTCATACTCGACAATAAAGTCCGCCGCCGCAAACCACTTAGCAACATCAGCCGCAAGCTTGACGCCAGGGTTGAAGATGATAGTACTCAAGCCGCTGATTTTAGACATTCTCGACAAGTTCTCGAAATAGGCGAGCTTGCTTGGATCTTCACCGTTGGCTGCCTCGTCGAAGAAGATGCCGGAGAGACGGATATTTCTCCCTGTGTAGGTGGCCCATTTGGCGTAGGTAGCGATGTCCCTTTCGACTTCGGGGCTGGATCGTGTGCCTTGTTTTGTGTGTATGTAGCCCAGTACGTTGGCGTTGGAATAGCTGTTTAGCTTCGCGATGGCGGTTATGAAGACTTCTTCTGGGTATTCTGTGTCGCCGGGACCCGTGGATGGGTTGATGATTAGGAAGAATGGGATTGAGGGGTGGGCTGCGATTGAGTCGTAGATTGTATTCCATGCATCTATGCCGGGCCAGGCGTATAGTGGTATTAGTAGGCCGGTTGATATGACGGTTGAGGCCAGGGTAAGCACGGTCGCTATGATAGGAAGTAATAGGAACATCGTTGTATATGTTAGGTTGAACGTGAGGAAGTATACAATGAATATAGCACCCGGGGGGAGGGGCAATGATATGGAAATGAGTGCAAGGAAAAGGAAAGAACAAAAAGACTGAGGGTAAGGTATACTGAGCGAGCAATGCACACTTTATACATGCCGAGAGACTTGGGGAAATAATATTCTATGGGAAGGAAGGGATCGGACAGCGACAGCAGAGTCAAATATCAGCCTCAATCCCTATTGTTTCCAAATTGAAAGTAACAAGAGACCTAAAGATGACCCCAATCAGCCACATGTTTCAAGGGTCAGGCACCTTGGACACGATGCAAATGATTCATTCGCCCTGGATAACCAAATAGGCATCGTGTGATACCAACAATGAGTGCTCATTAAATGTCTGGACTTGATTGAAATGTACGGAGTAGAGGAATGTAGAAGTTAGGACATCTAGCCCTGGCGGAGTCGGTAATTGATCTCTTGGCATATTCCCCCTTGATCTGTAGATATGAGTGTTCTGAGTCTTGTTAGCCGGTGGAAGTCGGAATTCAAATGTGTTTCTTACAATAGCTGCAATTTAGCGAGCGGGCCATTCCTCGGATTTGATGCATTCACAAGCAAATTTGGGTGCAATATATATCACACCCAAGACCTAGTAACAGTCAATGTCGGGAATGTTTCCATGTTCACTTGATGTCGAGGGGTTTCTTAAATTCAAAAATTGTTTGCTCATCGCGTCTCAAGTATAGCATTGAGGTTAGGCCTAGAAGGTGTGTTGGAAATTAGATTACTAGGACTACGTAGACAAACATAATGTTTACAATGATTCATTCAGGCTAACATAGATAATGATACAGAATGGACTAGAGCGCCGTGAAATACCACCATCCGGGGGATCACGCAAATCCATATGTACACGCATAGAAATTCCAAGTCCGCCTAGGAATATGCGGTTGCGAAAAGGTCTGACAGCTCCGATCCAAGATAGAGTCAATGGCTGACTACAGTTCCGACCCAGCAGCAAAGTTCAATGCCTGCTGCTGAAGCTTCTTGTTGCGTCGAAGCAAAGCTGCGAACTTCTTGTCCAGTGAATCCATTTCTTTCCGGGTAAGCTCGAGGTCTTTCTGAGAACGACCGGAGAGATCCTTCAGTTCCTCGTTGGTCAAGCCGGCAACGTCGTCGAGGGTTGGGTTGGTACCGACCATGCCCGGGTTGCCCAGCATGTGCTGCGCAGTAACTGCAGCAAAGGAGCGAACAGCAGCAGGGGTGGTGTTGAGAAATTCTGCAGAGTTAGCAACGGCCCAGTCGTGGTTGCGGGTGCTGTCTGCCTCCATGGCCGAGAGGACGTTAGGTGGGATCACGGATTCCGCCGCCTCAAGAGAAGAGGATGGGGACGTGGCACCCAGGCGAGTGGGCATGTCGTCAACCCAGCAGATGTTGAACTTTTCTGGGTTCGCGAAAAGTGCTTCCAGACCTCCACTGGGATTGCTTGCGTCGTCTCCAATCATGAAAGGATCGGAGACACCGGCCATGTTCTTCTCCAGCTCAAGGTACCGCTCCTCCTCTTCTGGCTCGAGGTGGCGCAGGACACAACCACGGGGCGTGATGAGGCATCGAGTCTTGAGGAAATCATCGCCAATTCGAACGGGCTCTCCACGAAGCAGAGTCTTCCGATCCTCCTCGGTCAACTCGTTGGGACATTGGAGATAATCGTAGTCCTCTGCAGTGCACTTCATGTCGGTGCGCTGGCTAAGGTTGCTAGGGTTGAAGAGGGAACTTTTGTTGAGGTCAAGTTCGCCGGACTTGTGCATCTCAGCGAGCAACTCATGAAGGGGCTTGGTTCGTTCCACGAAAAGATCTTTGATTGCCCTTCCAAGAGCCTCGGAGTCCTTGACCAGCTGTCCAACTGTATTGTTTGAACGCCATGGCTCTACGGGTATTTCCTTCTGAACAGGTGGCTCTTCGACAGGGGGAGGAGTAGGCTCTCTGACAGGCTTGATCTCCTTAGCTTTCACTTTCTTCGTAGTAATTTCCACCTTGGGTTCGGCTTTGACTGGAGAAACGCTGGCTGGTTTCACAGGGCTCGTTTTTTCGGGGGCACTAGCGGCGGGTGCATCAGTTGTGTTCACAGTGGCTGCGGGGGCCTTCTTGGTCTTGCGTTTTCGCCCCATGATAGGCGCTTGAACAGGCTCCTCATTTACAGGCGCAGTTTCGACCTTCTTAGCCTCGGCCTCCTTCGCCTTCTGCTTTCGCTCCTTCTTGGCCTGGCTCTTGGTCATGGAGCGAACGGGGGCAGAGCCGATACGAGTAGAAGCAGGAGGGGAATTGGCACGAGAGGCAGAGGTGGAAGGATAGTAATCAGCTTCCCATCCCATATCAGCAGGAGTGTCTGGGATGCTGGTTGACGAGATGCTTTGTCTCCTAGAGCGGGACTTGGTACCTTCAGTAACAGAAGCAGGCACAGAGGGTGCGGTGACAATGGGAGGAGTTTCTGGCTTTGGGGTTTCTACCACACGCAGAATACGAGGCTGACGGGTAGCAGGGGAGTCAGAAAGACGGGATGCGATGGTTTGGGGGGTGTCAGGTCGCGACCCGATTACGGAGACAGAGCCAGGAGGTGGAACCTGCTCAGTCTTGACGGATAGGGGTAGCGGGGAGCCAAAATCGAGTGGGCTGCATTTTGTAGTGGCAGGACTCGGTTGCGACTGGTGTGTAGCCTTTGCAGGAGAATCTTTGAAATCTGCTCCAATGTTGAACTCGCTCTTGCGTTGGGTACGAGGCTTGCTCGCGGACTTTTGCACGGGCGATCCAAAGGAGATTTGAGAAGCGTCCTTCACGCGGCTTGATGTCAAAGGTCCACCCACGGTGAGCTCAGGACTTAAAAGACGAGAGGGGCTGTCAATACGGCTCTGCGATGGGCTGTTTAGTCGCGAAATGCTAGGCGTCAATCCAGGTGGGAGAATCGGGGCAGGAGACGAAGGTTTAGAGGAACTGTGTTCCTGGAAGACAGAGGACGAGGGATGAGCATGGGGTAAAGGTAGTCCAGGTGGCAGGGTCGGAGTTCCAGCTCGAGCGGCTGACTCGCCAGGTAACTGAGACTTCAAAAACCCAAAGCTGTCAACAGGTCGTCGATCCTTGGATTGATCTCCAAGAGGAGGGAAGTCCTCATTTACTAGAGCATTGAGTCAGCGGATGTCCAAGAAAGCAAAATGTGGCGATGTGAGTGGTCAGATGAGGGCGATATAAAAATCAGATCGAAATCGCTTCAGACGATGGTAAGGACTAAGCAGCAGCAGCACGACTAAGCGAAGATACAAAAAAGACCACGAGGTAATTACATGATGGGCATCTCCCGGACCAGGAACAGTGTAGGACAGGGCGTCTATGTAATCGGCGGCTGTGAGGAAACTGATTTCGAATAAGACCCTTTTCGGCTTGTGGTATCAGGGTAGGGAGATCTTAACGTACATTAATCCATAATAAACACCCGTGGTCTTCAAGACACAGCAGATCATATAATGGAAGTCCGGATGCAAAAAAAAAAAAAACCAAAAAAAGTAGAAAGGGAATACACAGCCGCCGAATACAAAGGAAGCCCGGAACACACGCCTGTATGTCCATGAAATGCGAAGACACCTGGAAAGAGCCAGAGAAAACATGCAAGAAATAAATAGCAATTGAAGGAGGCAGGGGAAGGACCCTAGTACGCCAGGTGAACGTCCAGCCATCGCATAAATCAGAGCTGCCAGTTTGACCGCGAATAAAACAGGAACAACAAATGCAAGGCCTCCATGTCGAGGGGGAAAAAGAAAGGGAATTGATATCATGTCATCAGGATAATTCAGGCCCATCAAGGGAAGGTCATAGCGAAGAAGCGAGGAAAATGTAGGAAATCAAATCACGGGAACAAGAGGTTAAAGGGAAACCATGGGGATTCACCACCGACTGATGCCACCACCATACACCATCGAGGGGTTGTACCCACCTTGACCCTGACTCCCGTACAACGCCTGCCCAGCAGTAGCATTCGCACCGACTTGATGCATTCTCGCCTGCAAAATGCTCGGGTCCGCAAGATCTACTACACCACCTCCACCGGAGGAAGTGTTAGCGTGTCTGTGCTTCTTTCCCTTCTTCTTCTGCTTCTGTGGGCCACCGGAATCAGGCATTACGCCAGCTTGGGGCCCATAGAAGGAGCTGAGAAGGCCATTGACAGGAGTCATGGGGGGCGGGGTATTGTGCTGTTGAAGAAAAGGGAACATGAACTCACGCTTAGCTGCCTCTTGGCCCTGTACACCACCAACATTCGTACCAGTTCGTCCACGCAGTAGTTCGCGCATTAGCTCGGGAGTCGGATCTTGCTTTCCTCCATTACCACCAAGCCCAGAGGTGAAACCATGTCCTTGTGCGAACATTCCACCTCCACTAATCGGAGGGGTACCAGCCGTCTTCAATCCTGGCGGGGGACCCTGCACACCACTGGCATAGAAACCGCCTGCTGCAAGACCGTGTTGAGGGCTTGGGGCAGAAAGAGGGTTGGGAGATGAAGATTGCATTTGGCCCAACATGCGTGCGTTAGGCATATTCTTAGATCCGACCTCATTCGTAAAGGAGAATCGGGAAGACTGTCGGCTCTGTGCTGCCTGTAGCGCATTGAACTGTGCCATCTGATTCTGTACAAGGCCTTGGCGGACTTGGGCGGCTTGATCCAGAGCGGCAGAACTGAGAGGGTCAGCCAGACCAGCTTGTTGATTACCTGCGGACTTGAGTAGCATCAACTGTTGTTGCTGCAAGGGAGTCAAGCTTCGTCCAGCGAGGTTCAAGCCTTGGAATTGATGGCTAGTGGCAGAGACAGGAGATCCAACAGTTGAGTTGTCTGCAGTATCCTGCTGCGAAGGCGGCTGGATAGCACCGTGAGACTCCCGGCTCTGGCGATTGCGCGGGGGATTTGCTTCCTCTGGCTCACCACCTAGCTGGAGGCTACCAGCTTCACGGCTATCTTCCTCGGCTGCAACAGATTGGAGCAACTCGTGCTCGCGGCTGAGACGCTCCTGTTCGACTTTTTCGCGCATTGCTCTGCGCTTGACGCCACCATATGGATCGATGAAGGATGGGTAATCCTTGATTAACTTGACCTCTTCCGCACTCAATTCGGCCGTGCTGAAGGAGAACCTGAAATCCGGAGAGTTGATATCCTTGAGCAAATTGTCAAATGGAGATGGCAGCTTCGGAGGTTGGGGAGCACGGCGAGGACGTGGTTGCGGGGCGGGAGATTGAGGATCAACCTGGGAGATTGATTGCGGGGCTTCTTGGGAAATCGGAGATGGCTTCTCTGCTCGCTTCGGTTCTTCAACCGGGGTCGCAACATTGACACTAGCGGGTCGTGGGCTATTAATGGAGGCTTGGCTGCCAGTGAGACTAGTCCTCCTTGTTCGATGAATAGCAACATCTTTGTTAGCCCAACTGGCGGTTGATGGCAGAGCCGGGCCATCTGGTATGCCGGTGCGACTGCTGATCGAGTCATCCTTGCTCGGTTGCCGGCGCATAGGATGGGCGATGGGTTGAGCGGACCTCACGTGAGAGGGGGTAGGTGGGAGATTTGGGCGTTGGGTGGAAATCGTGTTCATAGATGAAAGGTCCTGGCGGCTGTAACTGTCACTGTCCTCTCCAGTCTCGTGCAAGAAAGTGCAGTTCCGGTTATTGCACTGCTCATTGCGAAGGAAGGAGGAGCAATATTTAGTTGTTCCGTATTGCGCCCTGAGCACTCGATCGCCATTTCCAGACCCGTCCACGGCATTGATGCACATCGCAGCATCGGCTTTACGTGAGAAAGTCACGTAAACACCAATTCCCTGGTTAGGGTTGCCGCCGGGCTTAGCCTTGCTGACCACGATCTTCTCAATCTCGCCATATTGACCGAAATATTCCCGTCCACGGAGCGTTTGAAGGAGTTGATTTTCATCTCGGATCGTAGGGTTGAGGCCGATAACGTAGACTAAGTTCTTTTGGACAACACGGACACCGGCCAAGTTCTTCCGACTGGAAGCCTCGATTTCACGCTTTTCGGCTTCCTTCTTTTTCGCAGCAGCCGCCTTGCGGTGTTTCAGTGCCAAATCTGCCTTGAATCTAAACACAGTAGGTTAGTTGGGATGTGGCGAATATCACAGAGTATGGGTCGACTCACTCCTCAACGTCAGGAATCTTGTACTGGATGGTACTTTCGTCGTATCCGCGCCGACAGTTGGGGCATCGTCCTTCTTCATTCTGCGTTTTAATGTTATTGTAGCAGAATTGGCAAATCTAAAAAAAAGATCACATGTTAGGTCTGGGATAAAGAGACAAAGACGAGCGATCTGTCCCGTCACAACAAATCGAGTAGTGACAGGGTCGCATCAAGGGCTATGATCAGAACTTACCTGATATCCACAAGGACACGGTTTAAAGTTCTTATCGGAGAGATCGAACTCTTCAATGCACAGGGGGCTGTGGGGTGATTAGTATACAGATCGCGCGGGTTGAATGAGCGTCAAGACGTACCAGAACTCGTCATCGTCATCGATGACTGAGTCGATCAATGAAAGACTGGACATGGTTGCGGGGAATACGGTGACAACCGGAGAGGGACACGAGATCTCAAACGCCGATACCTGATTAAATCGGATGAGAAACTGTGAAAATAAAAGAAATACGCTGCGGTGTAAAGTGCAGAAAGACGAACGGCGATTAGATGCTTGAGGAGGAGCGAGAATAAGAGAGGGCAAAAGAAAGGGTGGAGATGATTGATAGAAGAGGGTGAACGGGGAGAAGAAGGAAGGAAATTGTGAAGCGCGGCTTCATTTTGCTGGCATTGCCCGATTTAGTTTAGCGTGTGCCCAACACGTGACCAAAAGTGCTCGACCACTCTAAACCTTCACAATCCGACTTACGTGCCTCCGTCCCCTCCTCCCGTTGCATCTGCCATTGCTCCCTCTACACAATGGCCTCCGCACGCTCTTTGATGCGCCTGGGTTCTGGACGCTCTGTGGCATCTGCCACGAGGTCCATGACCGCCCGCACCTTTTCCTCCGCCTCCCTTCAGTGTGCCCCCAAGGCCTCGACAGCACCGGGCCCGGAACCTCAGAACATGCGCCAGGCGCAGCGCCCGCGTATGTGCAATGAACCAGCCGATAGATAGAATACAATTGAGCTAACCGAACCCTGTTTTGCCAGCCTCGGGACCTCTACGTGCCCCCGTGGTCAACCCTACCGACAAGTACCAGCCCATGGCCGACAGCCTCCACGCTTATGGGCAGTACGTTATGTCTTGTCTGCCCAAATACATCCAGCAGTTCACAGTCTGGAAGGATGAGCTCACCGTTTACACCGCTCCCGCCGGTGTTGTTCCCGTGATGAGCTTCCTCAAGAACCACACTGCTGCCGAGTTCACCCAGATCTCCGATATCACGGGTGTCGACTTCCCCACCCGCGACCAGCGCTTTGAAGTCGTCTACAACCTGCTCAGCGTTCGCCACAACTCCCGTATCCGTGTCAAGACCTACGCGGATGAGGCCACCCCCGTGCCCAGTGTGACTGGTCTCTTCGAGGGTGCTCTGTGGTACGAGCGTGAGGTGTACGACATGTTCGGTGTGTTCTTCTCCGGACACCCTGATCTGCGCCGCATCATGACCGATTACGGCTTCGACGGCCACCCACTGCGCAAGGACTTCCCCTTGACCGGTTATACTGAGCTGCGTTACGACGAAGAGAAGAAGCGCATTGTTATTGAGCCCCTTGAGCTCACCCAGGCCTTCCGCAACTTCGAGAGCGGCTCTACTGCCTGGGAGCCGGTGGGTGCTGGTGAAGACCGCACTCCCGAATCCGTAAGTCATATTCTCCCCGTTACTAAAAGACAATATCCTGACCTGTTCAACTATAGTTCAAGCTTCCGACCCCCAAGCCGGAGGAGAAGGAGGAAGAAAAGAAATAGAGAGGGCCTGTATGCGTATCATTTTCTTTGCCATGTTTGTATGTACATATCCGTCAGTGTTAATCGATGGTCTTTTTTTTGGTCCAAGCAATATATCCAGCAATGTAGTGCACGTAGCGGTTAATTTGCGTGAGTTCAATCATAAAGTTAACCTACCATGACTCGGACTAAACGTCTTATTTTCTTCATAATTGGAATGTACGTACAAAAATATAGCCTGAACCAGATATCAAACCGATTGATTCGCGATGGCCATTGCAAGCGTCTGTCTTGGCATCGGGGGTCCGCCCAAGAAAAAAAAAATTAAGCTACACCAACATCCGACGATCAACACGACCCTCGAAACTGCCCACTGTTTTTTTGTTCAACGAGCCATAAACTCTTTGACTCGATTATCTGAATACCACACATCTCCATACACTCCCACCATCGAAAAAATGCCCAAGCGCAAGCTCGAAGAAGTCAGCGGCCCCGCGCGGTCCAGCGACACCCGCAAAATGTCCATTCACGGCACCCGGTTGACGCAAATGTTCGAGAACGGCGTACTGATGATCATGCGTGGTCTCAAGACATCGCGCGGCTTTGAGCGACAAAAGCTCAGTCGGCGAGAGAAGACAGCGAAGCAGCAAAAGGACGATAAGGCGTTGGCACGACTAAAGGAAGAAATCGAGACTTTAAAGGTTTGTAGTTATTGCTACTGTGGACAGCTACACGGCTTTGCGGAGGGTCCTGGCCCAGGAGTTCGATTGCTAATATTCGTTTCAACAGGGTCTCGATTACCATGTCACATCCGAGCGATACCTGTTCAAGCAACTTATCAGAACGAAACGGATCGCAGAAACACGGACATTCGGGGAGTTCCAGGCCGTCAAGAAAGTCTCCCAGGATGGACCGAAGAGCACCGCCGAAGCCAATATCCTAGCACGACTATTCAAATCCACTCCAGTGCAGAAGGAAATGCCCGGGATTATGGCGGGCATTCGGAAATTACTTCGAATCGACGAGGCGCCGTCTAGCGAGGCAACAAAAGAGGCCAGCAAGAAGGATGCACCAGCAAAGAAGGCACGGAAGGAAACCAGCGGATCGGAGTCTGAATCAGAGACAGCGACGACAAAACCCCGACGCGGCGAGCAGGTCTCCCGCCCCGCGAACGACATGGATATCTCCGGCTCAGAAGAATCCGGGGACGAAGACCTTTCACAATTTAACGCGCGACTTGGACCGGGATCAGACTCTGAAGCGGATTCGGAATCTGGCGACGAGGAAGACCTCGCCGCAGACGATATCTCTGACTCTATCTCTCGCTCCCCATCACCATCCTTCTCTGCGGACTCCCCGCCACCTAAGAAAGCAAAAGGAACCAAGGGTTCTACTGAAGCTTTGACAACCACGACGTTCCTGCCGTCTCTAATGAATGGCGGTTACTGGTCTGGCTCGGAAGAAGCTACTGATGAGGAAGATTCCGGTAAGAAGCCTGTTCGTAAGAACCGAATGGGTCAGCAGGCGCGTCGGGCTCTGTGGGAGAAGAAGTTTGGAGCTACTGCAAACCATATCAAGCAGGAACAGCTGGCTGCGAAGTATGGTGGTAGAGATAATGGTTGGGATACGAAGCGCGGTGCAACTGACGGTTCGCGAGGTGGGAGAGGAGGGAGAGGAGGCAGACGTGGTGGTTTCGGCAGTGGGCCTGTGCGGCCTCAGAGAGATGGTCCTGCTGGGCCTCACTCTGGGCAGCATTCTGGTGGCAAGCCTAAAGGTGGTCCGCCTAAAGATGAGGGCCCGTTGCATCCCTCTTGGGAGGCAAAGCGGAAAGCCAAGGAGCAGACGACAGCTGCTTTCTCTGGAAAGAAGGTTACGTTCGATTAGGGTCATGGGCATTATGTATATCTACCAATCAATGTTTGAGGTTCGTTACAAGCAAACGAGCAGATATTACGATCTCCCCGTGTGATATAGGTTTAAAGTCACCCGACTCGGACAAAACAATTTCTTGCAACCTAAGAATTGATATATTGGGAATAAGCTGTGTACAATTTCCGAGAGTTCCACCACCCAGGCGCAATATATAGCAGTGAAACATAAACAGTCGCAAGATGGTATACCAAGAAAACGAAAATCAAAGTTAAAAGACCCAACCCAAACATGTTGTATAGATGGATTGCTGCTTAAGCAACAAAGCACGATAGAAAAAATTGATCATGGATCCCTCATGAAGTTCAGCCAGTGAGGGGGGTCAGATCTGCCACCGGGGGCCTTCATTTCAGCACCAGGCAAACCATTCGATTGACCCTGTGAATCTGGCTCGAAGCAAGGAATAGCAGTGAACTCGCCCAATTCTTGTGGGAAATTGGAAACGAAATGGTCGAAACCAAAGTGTGGCATCTGCGAGAGGGACTGCTGAGAAATGGAGAAAGTGTCGGGGAGTGGGACTTCGCCTTCTGGAATGCTTCGATCGGGTGCAGCAGGTGTTGGAACAGCGCCCCCCACGCTAATCATGGCCGCGGAAGGAGGTGTGAGGGACATGTCATGAAGAAGAGTAGAAGGACCCGCCATGGTAGGCGCTTGAGAAGGTACGCTTTGCTGGACATTTTGCTCACTTGAAGCATAAGTTTCCTGCTGTTGCCACGCGAGCGTGGACGGCGAGATAGGTCCTGCTTTCCAAAGCATTTCCCAGTTTTTGAACCGGTCGTAGGCGGATTCGACAGCACCTCCGCTACTCATATCCGGTTGGGCCTCGCTCCATGCTTCGAGACGGCGGATGGCACGTTCGAGCGCTTCTATGACACTAACAGCTGAACGGGCTGAGCCAACTCCCATAGACATAATCTTGATTAGGGAAATTCCCTGTTCAAGAGCAGCACCGAGTCTTTCGGTTCGTTTGGTCAAGCCCTGAGCCAAAATGACCAGCAAAGCTGCACGGCATGAACTAAATTCGGTAAACGAGGCTCGCGCGAGACCAGTCTCGTCACGGAGCAAGCGGCACAAATCGATGATTTCCAAAGCTGCTTCCACACAGTCCGTAACAAGAGTCGCACGGTTCTTTGACAAACCAGATAGAGCGGCGGAGCCCTTGTACGGCGGGCCTTGAGAGGGTGTTTGGTAGATGCCTTTGATATTACTGAAAAGGAAAGGTCGTCCAATAAAGACTCGAGTCAGACAGTAGTCTAGCTTGAGATGGACATTAGACCTGAAAAGTGGCCCTGCGGGATTCAGATCGCGACAGGTGATCTCCTCCGGTAGCGTCGACCACCAATCAACGAGATGTTTCCGGAAATTCAGCAATCGTTCTAGATAGTCCTGCTGTTGTTCTTTGCGGTATTTTCGCAATGAGGTAATTTCATTTGACACCTCGCCAAGCTTCAAAGTCAATGTTATGAGTGTTACCATATTTGTATGGTTTGAGGGCTGATGGATAGGCATCAATCCGGGGAAATCGACCGGCAGGGGAGCATCAACGTCGCGATCTGACAACGATGACGGTCTGCCGTGTAGAATGCTTACACGCTTTTCAATAGTAAAAGCTGTCCAGAAAACCCGATTTCGTACTTCAATCATGCGCGGAGACAGGCCTTCGCCGTGATACCTTCGATGCATTCCATTTTGAATAGCCAATTTCAGTGCTAGGCCAAAGTATGTGTAGCATAAGCCCGAAGTATCCAATGGA